ATTAAATAATATTATTTATGAAATAAAAGTAAAGTATATAAAATAATGAAGTAATTAAAAATTATATTAAGTGATGAAGTAGCTATATAAAAAAAATTAATAGTTAAATATAAGTAATAGGTAAAAACATATAAAAGAAAGTATAGGGATAAGAAGTAACTTTTCTAGAATTTTTTTATATATTATAATATATATAATATTATTGCAAAAACCAATATATAAGAATGATAATTTGATGGTATTTGAGTCTTGGGTGTATGTTAATTAAATGTATATACTGAAATTAGTTTAGGAAGAAAAGAGATAATTATACGTAGCGCGTTGAAGGAAATAAAAGTTATAGTAAAGGATTTTATAGATATGTTATCCAAAACTGGCAAACATACATGTAGGCAACCCTTGGTCGAACTCGATTTCGATCAGATTCATACAAATAACCCGTAAATATATATATATATATATATATATATATATAACCATTAACCCCTCAAACTCTCAAAAGAATGCATGCATGCATGTGTCGTTCCTTCTCCGTGATTACACCTTGTGAGTGTTAACGATGGTGTCCAGGACGGTGACGCAATTGCCACTCAACTCGAAGAGCGTGGTGGCTTCCTGGCGGAAGGGCATTTCGACTCCGGGAGACTCGGTGTAAGCGTCGTCGCAGCTGGATTTGTAGGAAATCACGGCGCTCATTTTGTGATAAGCATCCGCCACGTTCATCTGAGCCACCAGATTCAGAGACTCCTTTATGCTGTCCAACATGTCATCGTACTGAGACTTGCAGATGTTGAGCGCGTCCAAAGCGTTCTTGGCGGTGGTGGGATCTTCCAGCTGCTTGGAGATGGAAGCAGCGATCTCGCTGGCCTTCTGGAGGGTGGCGTTGATCTCGCTCTCCAGTGCTTTGACGGGGTCGAAGGAACCAGATAGGAAGGGGGCGATGGTATCGACACATAGGGATGGGTTATCGGTGCCGCTGCAGAATTGTGTAAGCTCAGGGGGGACAGGTGCGGCTAGAAGTTGACGGGCGGAGACGGCGGTGGATAGGAGGAGGCAAGAGAGTGCTCCGATGAGGAGAAGGGTTTTGTTGAATCTGAAGTGATCCATTGTCTCTCCTCCTTGATAGAAACGCGTCTTCTTCTTAGAGTAGAGAAGAGAAGCGTTTTGGAGGAGAGACAAAGGATCAAATCGAGTTGCATTTTGTTCCAGGTATGGACGGCCTTTTATACCTAACTTTGCCTTCTTCTCAACCACAACTTCATCGACAGAAAACCACCGGCTGACCCGGTAAAACTCACCTAAACGCGCTCTCCACCTTATGATTTTCGTATGGACCCTAAATTAAGGGCTGGAATAGTTATAATAGTAACATTAATTCAGCTTCGTTATAATAATAATGAGAATATTATAATGTCCATTTTAAACTCAAGAAATGTTTATATTGACCTTGTTTCAGTGTGTGCAAGTAATGGAAATTATTACAATATTATGCTATTATTTATATTTGACACAGGGTGAAAATAATGAAAAAAAAGCCACGTTGAGGGTCGATTATTTACATTTTTGTAGTATATAAAAGTGGTGAGTCGATAAAAATTTAATTACGAAATTATAGAATTGAAGAAATTTTGTTCAAAACTTCAAAGACCTACTTAATAATATAAACTAGAACAAGATCGTTGGAGGCCACATTGATGTACTATTGAGAAAGAATAGGAGGCGTATTAATTATTTATCCTTCACATTTCGATAGGTTAGGAAAAAAATTCGACTTATAAAGTAAAATAGTCCTAACTAGAGTGAACTTTTGTATTTATAAAAAAGAAATAAAGTAGACGATTAGTGAGAGATAGTGTTAAATGGGAAAAAAATTTGAATGTCAAATATCATTGTCCAATTGGTTATGTGCAAAGATGGAAATACCTCGGATGAGAGAATATGTATATGAGTTAAAGTTACACATGGGATAAAAATGATAAAAGTAAATATTATATAACAAAAAATCTTGAGATTTTAAATTAAAAGTAAAAATGATAATTTAGTGAAGTAAAATATATCAATATCACACATATATAATATTTCTCTAATAAGCTCCTATGAAAAAATAAAAATAAACTCATCATTGATATCTCTTTTGAGTATTAAGAAAATAACATAAAGACATTATTTATATAACCAAATTATGCGTACATGCATGTTATTAATATTAGATTATTAATTGATTATGTAGTTTAACATATATTATGCGCATGTTATTAATATTAGATTATTAATTGATTATGTAATTTAACATATAGATTATGCCTCCATCAATAATAAATTATGATTTGTTTTAAACTTGCTCATTCTACTTTTTAAATTATCAAATTATATTTTGAAATTGAGATTTAATACATTTGAAATATGGATAAAAAATATGAAATACAATTTAAAATATGTTTTATATTTGCAAATTTAACGTCCAGTTCTCATTTTTTTTTCTATTTGCAATTCTTTTATTATACTTTTAAGTTTTTTGAACGGTGTATGTATGTATAATTAACTTTTAAGTAATTTCTTAATATTATTTTTTAATTTTACAAAATAGTTATTTCATAATTAATCACCTTATATTACTTATTTATATATTTTTAAATCTTAATTAGGGTGACATAACTCAATTAAAAGATATAAAATTTTGAGTATTCAATGCACCAAAAATTTAATAACAACTCACATGAAAATAGACACATTTATGAGAGACTTGAAAATTAATTAAGCCTTTTTTTTAATACTTAAGTAGTATTTTAGTTTCAATAGTTAGGAGATTTATTCAATCCGATCCCTTAAAAAATAAGAATTATCATCAATTCAACGCTCAATATTTAAAAGGTTCGATGTGATGACATGTCACTCTAAAATGTCTTCTCCCTCTCCAATCGTCTTTTCTCTAGTGACACAACGTCACTCAAGCTCCCTTCCGCCGATGTAGTGTCACACATGAGCAACAACACTGTCACGCATGCTGCCAACACCCCTGTAGTAGAGCTCCATCTCCCTGTCGTGCCTGAAGGAGAATAGCGTTCCCCATAATACCCTGGCCCAGTCTCTCCTCCAGACTCCTAGCCACTCCGATGAACATAATAGGAGAAAAGAATAGTGTTTGGAGAACTTGATCCAATTAATTCGCACTAGGACACTCCGAGCAATGACAAATTTCCTTAAAAGCTCGAAAAGATGAGGCCAGAGTCATTCTCTGTCTTCTTATTCTCAACAAAAGGTAACAATTTGATTGATATTTGATGATTCTAACTCAAACTATGTCACAGGCGTTGAAGCGGAAGGAGGTGGGGAGATTATGGCGATTAAGGCTGGGAGAAGAATTGTGATCACCTTCTAAAACAATATTAACACTAATTTAAGCTTCATGGGATCGATACTACGCCATCTTTTTTACCCTCGTTGAGTATGATTATCACAGTGAAGCTATGCGGATATATATATTTATAATTAAAAAGGCTTTTGATGCCAATCTGTAAAAACAAACTAGATTACACATATATACAAAATTCATCCACACGTGAAAACACTGTCTCGTAGGGGAGGAAAGGATGGCAGTTTACCCAGGAGGATGGTAAAAGCGACCACGGAAGAATCCTCTCCAATCAGCAACAACACCCGGAAATCTCCATTCACTCCTCAAAAATCATGGTGTGAAAACCTTGGGGTACACATTCTTGGTTAGCTTGTTCTTCCAAGCATTTTCATCGTCCTTCGTGAAGATCTTCCGAGAAAACAGCCGTCCTTGAAATGTTGTCATGGTCAAAGGCACTTAGACCAGAGTACGGACCCGAAGAAAACATTGAAGATGTCCCATCCGACTCATACGTGGTAGAAGACTGTCTCATGTTGGGCCGTGTAATGGATGAGGCTAACACAGGATCATGACTTTCTGTGATCCGCTGCACCATTTTAAGTGACTGTACCACTTCACCCATTGTAGGTCGCTGGCTTGCTTCGGGAGCAACACAGGCTGCAGCAATAGTGCAAACACGTACAAAATCTTCTTTTGGATACCTTCCCCCAAGCCTTGGATCAGCAAGTTCTTCCAACCGATCCTTGTCTCTAAGAATAGGTCTTGCCTGAAAGGGATAACCACGTAATTATTGTATAATCAACATAAAACTCCAAATGAAAATTTTGAACTCAACAAGGGAATGCCAAGGTATGAATCTAACCCAAGTAACAAGGTTCTCTTGTCCAGTTGGCTGTGACATATCCACTGGTTTCCTTCCGGTCAACAGTTCCAGCAAGACAACCCCATAACTATAAACGTCGCTTTTAACAAGAAGATGTCCAGTCATAGCATACTCAGGAGCTACATACCTACATAAAAGTTTGATTTCATCTTAAAACTAAATTAAATGAAAATGATTAGTATAATACAAGAAAGAATAGACTGAGACTAACCCAAATGTGCCCATGACTCGAGTAGATAAATAATTGGCCCTGCCTTCAGGTGCCTGTTTAGCTAGACCAAAATCTGCAACTTTTGCATGAAAGTTGTTCTCAAGTAATATGTTGGATGCCTTGAAATCTCTGTGTATAACACAGGGCTGTGAATCTTCGTGCAGGTATGCAAGTCCTCTTGCAGCATCAAGGGCAATCTTCATTCTAGTGTCCCAATCCAAAGGGCAATTTATTCCCAGGGGACCTAGGACAAGTCGGCCAATTTCAATTAAGCATAATATATAGTTTCAGAAACAACACCATTGTAGAAAACATGTACAAGACTACAAAGACGATACGAGAAGTTGTATTACCATGAAGCCAGGCCTCTAAACTTCCATTCGGAACAAGCTCATAGCAAAGTAGATTTTGTGATGCCTCACGATTACTATAGTATCCCACTAGTTTTACAAGGTTACGATGATGCAGCCGACTAAGCATCTCAACCTCAACCAAAAATTCTTTGTCACCCTGTTGCCCTCCACTAGTAAGCCTCTTAATTGCAACAGCAGTTCCATCATTCAAGACACCTTTAAAAACTCTACCAAAACCTCCTTCTCCGAGTACGCTTGCTAATTCAAAATTATTGGTAGCTTCTTTCAGTTCTTCATAAGCAATAAAGCGTGTACTGGTTGGATGGGGAAGAGACCCAACAGCTGGCACTGTGCTTTCAGTCCTTGGCTTTTCTGTAAAAAAGAGAGCAAACTTAGTAGCAAACCTAGAAGACAAAAGACTAACACGAAAATAATGAACAGATAAGAGTGCCATAAGTTCCTGTATTTTCTCTTCAGTCTGAGTTCATCAATGCACATCTGATTTCTCCAGAAATACTAAGTATATAAGTTGAATCACAAGCATTTCTACCTTTTAATATCTGAAAAAGTAAACTCATGTTGGGTTGAAATCCTAAATTTAAGTATCTCAATAAGGTAAAATGTGGCCTTCGCTATTTTCCTCCAAACAGACTTATAACTATGTGAAAAATTGGCAACCTTCACTGCTCCAACAGCATAGATATTCTTGCTTCAGTTGAAAAAATTATAAACTATATTAATTTTCACAATCAATGATCACAATTTACAATATACACAGCCATATTGAATTCCAATGAATATTTTGTCGTGCAACTAATAAACCACTCTGAAAATACTCATAATGAACACTTGCAATTAATAAGCTCAGGGAACTTCTTCTGTCCTTATTTCTGCGTCATGAGAAAAATTTTGTTTGAGGGAACCCAGGTTGCCCTCTTCTAGTTGATATACTTATTGCCTTTACAACATCCAAATATAAAAAGGACACCAAGCATAATCAGTACCGGCTTTTAACTTTAATATGCTGTTATAGGAATGAAAAGAAGAAAAATAACACGTTAGAAATAGAAATATTTACCAGTTTCCATGGCAGGTGTTTTTGTTTTTGGCCTCATCGTACATAAGCAAAGTGTAAGTACACATACAATGGAAATGAAGAGTACGCCAGTCACAATTCCAAGAATAAGAGGCAAGTTTGAATGCTTTCCCCTGGAAGAAGTACTCGATAATGTGGTTGGAGGTGCTCTCCTGTGAGGAGCTCTCTTAGGTGATGTAGCAATTGTAGGAGCTGCATTAGAACCCAAATATATGTTATCATATTATATTATACATATAATGCACTGATTTCATTATTAACACATCCTTGAAGGCCCCCACGAAGAGGCGGTTGTTTGAAGTTCCTCTTCCAAAGGAGTAAATTCAGAAACCACAAAAAATCTGGTATCACAATAGACTAGTTGAGTGCATCCTCTAGAGCTATGAGAGACCAGAGAAAGAACATTGGACAATTTACTACAAAATTAGTTATAACTCATTGAAATTATACAAATATGTGGCAACAAGCCAACGAGAAAGACTAACACATGCATTGAAGTGTAGTAGTTGTGGAATCACAGATGCAAACTCTGGGATTTGGGTTTGGTTCAACTCAATTTTGGTTTTATCTATAGTCAATAGGGATCTCTTAGAGCGCACTACCTAAGATTACATCTAAAGCATCAATATTAAAAGACTTTGTTTATAGTGGGAAAGCCAAAGGGACAATTAGTTGTATTGTATCTATAGTTAATAGGGATCGTAGCATACCCTCCTCATGCATAGGATTAGACATCTAAAGCATGGATATTCTTTTATACTAGGAAAGCCAAAGAGGCAACAAGTATTTTGGACAGTTGAGGGTTGGCCGATACAAAATCTATGATAAGTCATCTTAAATTTTGGCTAGGTCTAACTCCACCCCCAAAACTAATTTATGAGGTGAAGATAGTCCAAATCTTAGAAACCCTAAGTCATATATATCTATAATTGATATGGGATCCTAACACAAACCACAAGCAAGCAGAGCTAAACAGTTCGATGTTATGACTTAGAAGCAATATACAAGGAACTATCTTAATTAACATTTCACAAATTTGGATAACACTTTCATAAGTATCAAAGTTACATGATTTATATTTATTGGTACATGTAGGAGAGCTAATATCTACTAGAGATATAACCAAATTTTTGTATATAAAAGGATGGAGACCGTACTTTGTAAACTAATTTTGTGAGGCATATAGTTAAACTTAAAGTTCAATTTCTAAGATAATATTAGAGTCTATCCTAACAAAATTTGTTAGGTCCGTGTCACTTGTTATCAATGTATTATTCCTTAGAGCATCAAAATATCTCTCTTCTTTCCTTACCACTTAGCAAAAACATTAAAAAAAGGATGTGAAATTAAAACAGTTAAATGGAAGTAGTCAAGACAGTAAGATTTACATATTTTAAAAAGTTCCAAATAAACATTATATGTGGCTGTTTTTATACAACAATGTTTCACTGTGTTAGTTCCAATTATCAACAACAGTAAAGTATAATGATTTGTAATGACATGTTCAATGATTTTAGATACCTTGAGAAGGAGGTGGAGCTTTAAACCAGGTTATATTGAGGACACTGTAGTTGCCCACATATCTGCTGTCTAGTTGAACCTTATGCAATGAGAGCGACGAATTTATTTTAGCGGCTTCACTGGCGGAGAAACTGATCCCTTTATTTGGAGTGATATCCATCGATATATTCAATGTCGACAAGCTCAGTAGGTAAAATTTAATAATTTCAATTTGGGTAGTGTTCAGCTCAAGTTGGGTGGCCAAATCATCGAGAAAAACAACATTCCAGTCAGGGTTTAGAGAGACATTCAAAAGAAGCAAGTCTAGCTTTATGGGATAAGCACATTGGCAAATCTCACTGCCTCGTTTCCACACCATGTCATGTCTGCAACAATCTGTTCGTGTTTTATAATAAAATTAATCGAGCAATTACAAGTTTAAAAAACACAATCCAACTAACAGACAGTGGCACTAAAAAACGAATTTCAAGTGAACTCCCATTTAGCCCCTAAATTTGTGAGAGCAGTCAGAAGAATCAGAAAATAATCAATTTAAAAATATTTGAAACAAAAATTCTCATCATTTTAGTCTCTGGAATATACAACTCACTATCATTAGTTTCTAAATTTTATAACTTGCGATAATTATAGCTCCTAACAGAGATTCCGTGACAGCACTTTCCAAGTTCAGGACTAAAATGAGGGTTAACTTAACTCCATTAGAAAACAATTTTGCTCGAATTACCGGAAACAAAAGGGGACAGTGGTGGTTGAGCGAGAGCAGGAATTGCATCGGCAATGGGATGCACAGGGGCAATATTCTTAAACGCAGAACCCGGAGGTTCTAATTGTACTCTTCCTTTGGTGAAATTGGCACGTGATGGGATTGGTGCAGGCAAATGCTTCAACCCAAAAGCATTTGCCAGTAGTGGCAGATCACCATCAACCACAGGTGGAAGAGCAGCTGGAGATAAAGAAGGTGTTTGCTGTTGCAGGGTTCTACCACATTCACCATACTCAACCACAAACCACACCGTGCAAGATAACAACCCAAGCAACAATTTAAACCCACCTGCATTATTTGCCAAATGTCAAACAGACCCAACCTAACAAAAAAAAAAAAAAGCTTGGTCTGCACACGAAAACCTATCATTACCGGTTGAAGAGGTGGAACCGGCGACCAGCGACATCGGCGATGCCGGGAACGGTTCAGATCAGATCTACGGGGTTGCGATAAAATCAACGGTGGAAATTGAGCTGGGGGAGTGAAGTGGGACTCCGAGTGAAGAAGGTGTGCATGACTGAGCTGAATCGGAGGTGTCACTGTTACCGGTTACTCACGGTTACTTGCCGGTGGCCTGACGGAGAAGGTTTGGGTTTGGGGGAAAAAATGGGTGTGGGTGAACGACGGTGTTATTTTTTGTGGATTTTGGTGTGGAAGGGGTTAATTAATTGTTTTGGGTCCCCCAAAGGTGGTGGCCACCGTTGACGGAAAAAGAATGACATTAACGGTAAACTAACGGTAAGAAGTTATAAGGACAGGTAGCTCTCTTGAAACACTACATAAGTGCAGTGATAAGACGCCTCGTCACGTCTCTTCTATATCTTTCCACGCTGAGGAGGTTTTTTTTTCGCAGAAATATTATTAAAAAAAGTTTTAAGAATATTGGTAAGTTTATTCTCTGAGTATTAGTTGACAATTCCTTCTTCTTTTTTAACTAATTCAAAAAACATTTTTTTGTTTTTCAACATTTACAAAATATGAAATTTGATAAACTACGCCTTTAAAACACTATTTTCATTAACTAAAATAATTGTTAAATTAAACGAAATCTTTAGTGTGTTAGAATTTCAACCTTAATTAACATGTTCAAATGATTTAAGTGAAAAATATTGTC